ATGAATTGATCAGATCTGATCCATGAGTGTTGGAGATGAATTGATCAGATCTGATCCATGAGTGGTGGAGATTCTATGATATTCTTGAATAAAACAAACGTTTAATATCTTTGTTACATGTACTAGCTATATAGTCAGTGCACACAACAAAAACAGCTTGGCAGTACTCATTAGCTCCATTGTGATATAAAAATTGGAAAACCTTGAGTTGTTATTAATGTTCCAACCGACTTGAGTTGTGTTATCAATGTTCCAACCGACTTGAGTTCTTATTAATGTTCCAACCGACTTGAGTTCTTATTAATGTTCCAACCAACTTGAGTTGTGTTATGAATGTTCCAACCGACTTGAGTTCTTATTAATGTTCCAACCGACTTGAGTTCTTATTAATGTTCCAACCGACTTGAGTTGTGTTATTAATGTTTCAACCGACTTGAGTTGTGTTATGAATGTTCCAACCAACTTGAGTTGTGTTATCAATGTTCCAACCGACTTGAGTTCTTATTAATGTTCCAACCGACTTGAGTTCTTATTAATGTTCCAACCGACTTGAGTTGTGTTATTAATGTTCCAACCAACTTGAGTTGTGTTATCAATGTTCCATCCGACTTGATTTGTGTTATTAATGTTTCAACCGACTTGAGTTCTTATTAATGTTCCAACCGACTTGAGTTGTGTTACGAATGTTCCAACCAACTTGAGTTGTGTTATTAATGCTAAAACCCAGTCCCTAATCAAGTGAAATTTACGCCAGTGGAATTATCCCAACATCTGGCACGTGTGTGTGTGTGTGTATTATATGTCTGTATTAATGAGATATTTATTTTTTTACAAGTAAAATTCTTATTTTTTTGCATTCATTTTCACGAAGCTACTGAATATATATCAAGTGTGATTTTATCTACAGATTCTTATGAAGTCAGTCATCTAAACAAAATCCAACAATACATCACTTCATAAATATTAATCCGTAAGTTCGTTTTAAAACTACTATGCAAATGCTAAAAAAGCATATTTATGTTCTAAAAAATCAATGCCAGAAGCTAACATTAGTTCATTTATTATTTTAAAAAACGAAATATTATTGAAAAAAGACTATTTTTGAATAGTCACTGGTAGCGAGATGAGGACTATGCCCCAAAACAACAAGTTTTCCTGTCGGTCAACAGTGGTTATTGAGAAAATCATCATTGTAGGGGCACTGAAGGAATTTGGCCTAAACTGAATTACCAAAAAAAAAGATCTCAAGTCCATCTAAACTTTTCTTATCGGAAGGAATTTCAATACATTATAATTTAAACAGATTGGCGAAAACTCTTAAAATTCATTTAACATTAGCATTTAGCATCAACAGAATCACATATAGAAAGTAGCAAAGCGATAGAAGTCAGCCTCTGTTCAAACACACTGTGCTTATTATTGTTAAAAACATCTGTTCATTGGTTCACAACTATGTAATTTCCGGACTTGCTGTGATTATTATTGTTTAAAAAATATGTTTACTTGTTCACAACTAAGTGATTTCCGGACTTGCTGTGCTTATTATTGTTTAAAAAATCTATTTACTGGTTCACAACTAAGTGATTTCCGGACTTGCTGTGATTATTATTGTTTAAAAAATCTATTTACTGGTTCACAACTAAGTGATTTCCGGACTTGCTGTGATTATTATTGTTTAAAAAATCTGTTTACTGGTTCACAACTAAGTGATTTCCGGACTTGCTGTGTCTTATTATTGTTAAAAAATCTAGTTTACTGGTTCACAACTAAGTGATTTACCGGAATTTGCTGTGATTATATTGTTAAACAATACTAGTTAAATGTTCACAACTAAGTGAGTTAC